ATATATATATATATATATATATATATATATATATATATATATATATAAACACATACAAAGGAAACAGAAGATACTGAAAATCTGGTGACACGTGCTGGATAGAGGCTCACAGTGGGTGCCCAGAGATGGAATTGCAAAATTTGTCCTTTTAGCAGCCCAAGATTTGGGGAGTCAGTGAAGCAGCAGACTCAGGGAACACTCCAAGGCTAGCAATCCCTACGTCTCTACTTAGCAGGGAATTGACAGGATATTCCTGGCTGTGGAATCAGTGAAAAACACTGAGTAGGATTGTCCCCCAACCACAAAGACACACTCAAATATAGTCATTAATGCTAAGAGATGCTCCATGGCTGTTAGAGGGCAGAGTTTAAGGGGTGTTCTCTGAGTGCACACAGTGGGGTACTGTTACAGTACACCCCAACCCAGTTCTGTAGAAGCCTGACTTCCCACAGAGAAGGGTGAGCAGGAGAAGGAAGCAGAGGTGCAGAACAACACTATATGATCTCAAAGGATGGTCACGAGAGAGAGAAGGGAGCACCATGACAGGAATGGACCTAGAGCTATACATCCTTGAACCACATCACAACAGATGCAGTGGCCAACAACTGCCAGGCCTCCCACCTTTGGCCTCCAAGTTGTCCCTGAAGTTCCAAAGCCACCTGCTATAACAGTAGCAAGGTGGCAGTGCACAGGACAATACCTCTGCTCATGGAACATAAGGGCAACAGAGAAATCCCACAGGAACCTGCAGCCTGAGCTAAGGTCCTAGGCCCTGAGGACAAGCAGAGGCCTGCAAGGCTCTACTGAAAATGTCCTCCCGTGTATTGCAGAAGGAAGAGGTGGAAGGCATTTTGTCTGAAGTTATGAAGAAGTCCTGGTCTACCTTCAATGGTATGTGGAGTTAATAACTCTGACAACCGGCATAAATGACACATGTATGACACTAAAGCACCAAGCACAGGGCCATCCTGTCATCTGCCGGGTTGGAAACAGTATACTGGTCGTCAAATGTACATACAACCTCCAGCCATGTCCTGCAGTGAGGTACTACATCGCTTCTCATCAGTGTTAGATCACCAGGTCCCCACCTGATTTGGGGGCCTTTCTTCCCCTACACCATACCTTGTCTCCATCCTACAGGCTGGGGTGTACATATTCATGACACCACCATGCTGAATGTGTGTAGCAGTGTCTTTTCTAGCGCCACAAACATATCAGAGATCCCACGTGTGACCATGGTCAAAGAGCCACCCAGGTTACCGTTTTTCTTAACTCTTGTCACAAGATGATATTTCCTTATTTCAGAACTGTATAAACAAATGAATGTTCCAGAAGGAGTGTCTTCATTTGCCTTATCGAATGCCGATGTCAAACCGCTGAAATCGGTAAGAAACTGAAATACAATTCTTTTCCTTGCTTCTCTGCTTTGCTTTATTTGATTTTGCTTCAAATACAGGACCTTACCTAGTCTCTTCCTCTGCCTGTGAAATTTGATCCAGAAAACATCAGCTTCTCTCATATGACTCAAACTTTAAGCTGTACCTGACCCCATCTCTCCCTGTATCTGGGCCCAAAGCAATTCCTAGAGGGTCCAAACAGCAGAAAGTCAGCATCTTCTCAGGGTGGTTCTTCATGCTCTCGGTTTTTCGTACTGACTCTATCAGGGGTCAGAGAACCTTACACAAGTCAGCCTTGATCAGGGAAACAGATCAGATGGATGACATCTGAGCCACAACTACAGGGACAAGAAACACAGCCCACCCCAGGTTATATGATAACTGTGAAAGTCTAGTTACTGATAGCCAGCATTGTGCCAGGGTCAGCAGGTGCTTCACTCAGAAACCTGTGACCCCAGAGTCAGTACCTTACACCTGCTGTCTCTGGGTGGTCCCCGAAAGTATCTGTATGGATTCCCTCCTGCCACCTCCCTTCCAGAGACTTCACCTCCAGTTCCTTCTCTCCTAGTCTGAACTCTCTGGGGTGCTCACTCCAGGTGTTTGATCCCATCCCTGAGGCAGTGCTATGTGATCTGGTAGGGTGTGGGTTAACACTGACCATGCTGCAGTCAACTTCTGGGGTTAAAGGCAGCGACTGTTGTCTTTCTCTCCCCTAGAGTGACCTTCAGGCAGCAAACTGAAGCCAGCACTGCTGAGGCCACAGCGAACCCCCCTGTGAATTTTTCCATGCAACTCTGAAGCCCCATCCTTGTGATTAAGGACAGTAGTAGTAGTCCCTCGGCCTGCTCAGGATCCTCTGCCCTGACTGACAAGGGAAAGAACATTTCAAGGACCTGGGTGCTTTGTAATCAGCTCCTTAATAAACAGTCTCTTCATGCAAAAGTAAAAGATGACTCATGTCTCAACTCTGGTACATGTTCATGAGCGTGCAAAGAGCTTCCTACTTGGAGCTGAACAATAATATGAGACAACGAAATCCACTGTTCTCCAGCACTCTGGGGACAATTGCGACAATGATCAAAGCTTTTCCCCTCACTTTCCTGTTTTATTTATGATCTGGAGTGTCTCACAAAGGCTCAGGTGATTAAACCTTGCTCCCACCTGGTGCTATTGGGAGGTGGTACCTTTAAAAAGTGGTGGCTAGAAGTAGTTCTTTAAGTCACTGGGGGCACACCATTCAAGCCATTGGGAATCTCTGTCTTTTCTCCCCTTGCTTTTTCTTCCTAGCCACTTCGTGTATGTTTGGCTACTTGTGACTATGTACTGCTCACCACAGACCTAAAAACCAGTAGAGAAATTAGGTCATAGCCTGGGTCCTCTAAGACTGAGCTGACCTTAACCTCTTCTCCACTTAAGATGCTTACCTTGTTACATTGCGGAAAAGCCAACACTCTCTGACACTGCATGCTTTCTTATTAATCAAAATGAAACAGAGGCTGGAACCCAAATCGTCCAGGTTGAAAATGGAGGAACACATTTCAATACAAACAGTGAGATGGGTCAAAGCAGGTAAAAGTCAGATATCACTACAAATCTGTTCAGTGCTGGGGAATAATCTTTTTGTATGCTGCAAATATGCATTGCTCTCCTTGTTAATCCAAAGCTGGGTGGCCAAGAACTGGGCAGGAAGAGATTGGGCAAGACAGCCTGAGACAGATGGACTGCTGGAATGAGGAAGGGTGGAGTCAGAGCACTCACAAGTCAAATGCAGAAAAAGTCAGACACTCAAAACAGGATAGAGGTAAAAGCTACGATCCTTGGGGCAGCACATACATTAATAGAAATGGGTTAAGTTGTAAGAGCTAGTTAGTAATAAGCCTGAGTTTAGTAGAACATTTACAATTAACATTAAGTCTCCAAGTTCCTTATTTGAGAAGCAGCTGCTGGGGCAGGAAGACTTCCTCCTACAGTTGGGAGCATAGCAGTCGGTCCTTGTGCCACAGATCTCCAGACAAACCAGGAATATTAAGCACACAGGATTGTCTTTCCAATAGGAAAGATGAAAAACCCATTCTTCCATTCATAAGCTGAGAATAGAAATGATTAACAGCCTGGTGATATGTGTTCTGTGCTGGTACAGGTAGTGTATCTCCAGAACCCATCTTCCTGGAAGAAATGACATTGTACCCTGAGTTGGATTTCAATGTAATTCTGCTTCCTCGTGCAACAGGGGTTGCATTACACAAGGACACTTTCTTTCTTTCTTATTTATTTATTTATTTATTTATTTATTTATTATGTACACAGTGTTCAGCCTCCATGTATGCTTGCAGGCAAGATGAAGGCAACAGATCTCATTACAGATGGTTGTGAGCCACCATGTGGGTTGCTGGGAATTGAACTCAGGACCTCCGGAAGAGCAGTCAGTGCTCTTAAGCTCTGAGCCATCTCTCCAGCCCAGGACACTTTCTTTTTGAGATTGTCCTAGGCTTAAATCCATCGGAAATAAATGGCCTGTTATTACACCCCTCGAAGTCTGATCCAGGTTGAAGTCAGTCTGCACTGGTTTCATCCTTCTCTCTTCCTGAGGTTCACTTCTCTGTGTGACCTCACAAACCATGCAGAGAGGATCTCCTATGTCCTAGATCAGTAAGTGTACTCCTAGCCATGTGACCGTGAGTGAAAAGTCAAGCCTGCAGTGGCTACAGCAATTCCTGTTTGTAGCAGTCTGACTTGTAGCACACATACTAAAAGAGACCTGGACTTCTTAGTGAAAACCTCTTGGTCCTGGAGAAGCACTGACAGCTGGATTCCTAGGGATCATTGGTCAACAACCTAGCTCACTTTCTGAGTGCCAAGCCAGTGAGGAGTTATTAAAAAAATAAACAGTGGGAACAACAATCCCCAGTTGCCCTTTGACCTACACACACACACTCTCACAGACTCACACACTCACTCACTCACTCACACAAAGTTGTACCTGGCATACACAGACCCACAATTACATGTACAAGAACATATAAAAACATACACATATATACAAATCAAAAAATTAAGAAACTGAATCAATAAAGGTAAGCTAATAAATGCTGAAAACTAGAAGCATGAACAAATTAGTTTCCCAGTTTGGTGTGGTGGTGCATGCCTTTAATCCCAGCAGACAGGGAAGGAGGTGGGCGGGATTTGTCTCTTAAAGGGACAGGACAGACCATTACATTCCCATCTCTTTTTTTATAATAAAAAGGCAGGAGGTTAGGCACAACAGGTTAAAAAAAAATGGGGCAGTGAATTCTCAAGACTGCTTCCTGCTTATTTGTTGGTATTGTCTTTGGGGGGGAACCTGAGAAGGCTGGGTGCTGGTCACATCCTGGCCTAGCTGGTCTCTTTGCTCCTGTCTGGTGTTTGTGGCATGAAAATGTCTCGTATCTCTTACACCTGTTTAAGGTACTGGCAGAACAGAGGACAAAGTTAAGTTTAGGGAAAAAAAAATTTAGGACCAGAGAATTGAGAGGGGTGTATCTGACCTGTTTAAGGTAAATTCTTTAATTCAGCTCCCTGGAACTCACAAAAATTTTTTGGGTTTGTGAAAACATAAGTTTTTTTGTTTTGTTTTGGTGGTTTTGAGACAGGGTTTCTCTGTAGTTTTGGTGCCTGTCCTGGAACTAGCTCTTGTAGACCAGGCTGGCCTCAAACTCATAGCGATCCACCTGCCTCTGCCTCCCGAGTGCTGGGATTAAAGGCATGCGCCACCACTGCCCAGCTGAAAACATAAGTTTTAAACAGCAGCATATTTATATCAGAATGACCGTGACAGGTATTTTTGCATAATGAAAAGTATCTGTACGACTATGAAAGGCAGCATGAAAGAGAATTTTGTTAACTTGTATTTGTCCTTACACCTTTATAACTTGCAGGTACACACCTTAATAACTTGTATATGTATTATACTGAAATTTGTTTGGTGAGGTTGTCCTTTCAAATTGACAAAGTCTTTCAGCTGTCAAACTACATCAGAGATCTTTGAGAAGGATAAAATTTTACTTGAGGAGTTATTGATTAAAAAACAACAGAGAACTTACTTGGTTGGCACCTAGAGTTACTCCTCAAAGCCCTCCAAGGTTACTGAGGGGCGTATTTTGCTGTAAACAGCAAAAGCGCAGGGCCTGCCAGGCTCCAGAAGATCCTGCGGGCTAAGAAATCTGTAGGAAGACAAGCCTACCTTGACCTGAAGAGCGAGGCTCTCAATTCCAGTGATTCTGTCCACTGTCTGGTGGCCGGGGCTTGTCTCTTAAAAGGACAGGACAGACCATTACAACGTTCCCTGAATCAGAACCTTGAAGGAAGAAACAGATAAGCAGATCAGATATAAATTACCTAACACCAGCCTATAACATCTTCACCAAGAAGGAGTAAAGAGAATTTTGGTACCCAGATTTTGGCATCATTTTTTATCAAACCCTAGTATGATCAAGATGCTATTTGAGGCATTCAGGGGATAAGATATTTTTTATGACTTGGAATCTGTGTACAGAAGCATGTGGAAATTTACATGTCTTTCCCGTGTTAGACAGAAGCCTCTCGACCAGGTGATAAACACACAACATGCTGAACTTCAGAGCTGGTGTCAGCTGCCAGGGAGATCAGAAGTTCACTAGAAAGCAAAGAATCACAAGAAAGGGGCTCTCTTAGTGGCCCTGAAATGAACAGCACTGTTCTTGGGTGACTGGCCCAGTGCTAGGACAGGCCTTCAAGCTGACTTCTGAGCAATCCATCACTCCCTCTCACCAGCCTTTCCCTCTCTTCCCCAGTCCCATGGTGGCATCCTCTGGTACCTATTTCTCATTTTATTTTTTCAGTTTTGTTTGTGTGATATATATGTATACACGCAGAGACCAAAGGAGGTCATTTGGTATCCTCCTCTGTAGGAAGCCCTGACTGAATAAAGTCCTGAATGAATGTGTACTGTGGGCATAGGCACAGCCATGTTAAGGATGTCTTATTTCCATGTGAGTGAAAAAAAAGCCTTCCCTGGGTGACTTAGAGAGATGGTAGAGTCTTCCTCTAGTCTGCAAGCAATGTTGATAGTGTAAGAAGAAAATGTCACTATAACACACACACATACCACAAATGGTTATAGTCTGAAGACTGCTTCCCTACAGACACTACCAGGGGTTAGCCTAACCTGCCTCCTTGTTCAGATGTATATAATAACCCACCTCCTTCCTCTGCTGTGTGCAATACCCTGGCTCCTGTACAACTGCATATAATAAATACACCGAGCTCCAGAGTGCTCCAGCTTCTCCACCTGAGAGCCCAGAGACCACCTGATCCCCACTTGTCCATATATTTGTCTGTCGTTTCTTCAGTACCCCTCAGCCCATTAGGTCCATCCCTGGGGACATGCAGAGTGTGGCACCCCTCTGTCTTGCTGAATTTATAGGTCAGATTTTTGGCTAGGCTGGCAGGCAGCAAGCCCCAGCCATCCTCCCTTATCTAATGCCTCCACCCCAGTGCTGATAGTAGAGGAGCACATGACCACCCCTAGTGTGGCACAGGTGCTAGGGGTTTATCAGGATTCTATGCTTGCTAAGCAACTGCTTTGAAGTCGCCTATCCCAAGCAAGTGTATAATTAGAATTTGTTTGTTGAAAAGGACACTGTAAAAGCCTAGATGAATAAAATGCAGAAATACATCATGTCTGCGCCACCTACTTTTTTCCACAGCTGTCTCCACTGTCCTCCTCACTTACTGACAAGGTCTTGTTCTTTGCTACATTGTTGTCTCCCTTGAGCCAGCTGACAATAATGCAAGCTGCATGAGGAGCTCATAACCCTACCCTACAGGTCCTTCTAACCAGAGTCTTGCTTTCTTGAAGAGGCTCTGGACACGCCCTGGCACTGGCCACTAAGGTCTCCTGAGATGGGTATAAAGGGTGAGCTGACGTATGTGCCTAAATGCTGGTCCTCTCACCCTGGCCATTCTCCCCAGAGAAGGGAGACACATGACAGAGGAGGACATTGCTGTTCTTTGGTTGTGAGTGCCAGCTGCTGTCATGTCCCGGAGAAGCTCACTGGACAAGATTTCAGGTGTGCACTTCAAGGGCAGGCTGGTATATAACACACCTTCAGAGGTGGCATTGCTCTCAATGTCCCCTCAACTGATGAACTTACAGTGAGCAGCCTCAGAACCAAAACATCTAAACTGACCAATTCAAAGCAACAAAATTGAAACAGTAATTTTAATAATTCCCACCCGGCACACACACACACAAAAAAAATTCAGGACCAAGCAAATGCAAACAATTTCATAAAATGGAAATATATGAAGCCCTTCCAAACTTATCCTCTGAAGCAAGTACTCCAATGCTAAGACAAAATAGTTAAACCATAACAAGAAAAATTGTAAGTCAATGTCCTGGGTACAAACAGATGCAACAACCTTTGGTAAGAATACTGATTACCAGTGCAGTCTCACTGGGTGGCTTAGCCACACCTCAGGACAACCCCATGCCCAGGAGCAGCTAGCCAACATAAAAAGAAACTAATGGAAATTCTTAGACTTTTGGTCTCATTTTGCATTGGGGGGAGCATTTTTTGTCTTATTGTGCTTTTGCCTGTTTATTTTGATTTTTGAGGTTTTGGAGAGTGTTTGTGTTTATTTTTGTTTGAGGTTTATCTGTATTTCTTAAGAACAAGAAAGAAAGAACATAAAGTTGGGTGGCTAGGGAGGAGGGGAGGATCTGGGAGGAATTGAGAGAGGAGAAAAATATGATCAAAATATAGCATATGGAAAAGTAATCCAATAAAAGTGTTTAAGTGTTCATCATCCTTAGCACTCAGAAAATTGCAAATTAAAGCAACTTTGAGATTCCATCTCACCCAGTCAGAATGGCTAAAACCCAAAGAAAGCAGCAGAGAACAAACGCTGCAAGGTTGTGGAGGATGAGGAGCCCTGTTCACTGCTGGTGGAAATGCAAAGTGCTGTGGCCCTCTGCAGATCAGTATGGAGATTCTACAAAACACTTTTTTAAAAAAATCTACCACATGATCCAGCTACACCACTCCTTGGCCAGTGCCCAAAGGACTCAACAACCTCCTCCTTGGCATTCCCTAACGTTCTATTCATAACAGCCAGAAAATGGAAACAACTTAAACGTCTTTCAACCAATGAATGGATAATGAATATTCAGTACATATGCACTACAGAATACCATTCACCTGGTATTCTGACAAGACATGAAATGTGCAGACAAATGGATGAACCTAGAAAAAATTATACTGAATGACATAAACAACACTCAGAAAGACAAATGTGATCTCTCCTCTATCATCCGTGGTTCCTAGTTCTAAATCCTCAGATGTGAATAGGCAACATGAGATAACCACAAAAACCAGGCAATTATAAAGAGACTCGTAGCCCACAACAGTGGTTATATGGGGAGAACAGCAAAGAGAGAAAGTGTCACAATTACAAAAATATTTAAAAATCCATATTGACTTTGACTCCTGGGAAGACAGTGGACGTTAACAGGGCTGTGCTGATGCCCAGCAACTGAAGGCTGCTTTTTACTAGGAAAGATGGCTATTGTGTTAGTCTTCTGCTGTCACTTTAAGAACTAACCACGCCCACTCCAGTCACTTTGGACCTCCCCCACCGCCATCTTCTCTCTCTCTCTCTCTCTCTCTCTCTCTCTCTCTCTCTCTCTCTCTCTCGTGTGTGTGTGTGTGTGTGTGTGCGCGCGCGCGTGTGCGTGTATGTATATGTGTGTCTTTGTTCTCTCTCTGTTTGTCTATGTTTTCCTTTCTTTAAGTAATAAATGTCTAGCTTTATGTATAGTCTTATGTTCATTTACTCTGCCGTCCACTGCATCCAGCCGCCTGACTCTGTCGCTCGCCCAGGGACCCTGACTCCCTGGCCGCATGGCGCTGCCACCCTGGAGATCTTACAGGGACCCACAGCCACTATCAGCTGCTCCGCGAGCTGTCTGGGACATCCCATCATGGTATTATTTTTAAAAAGAACAATATATTGCACTTTTTGTTTTGTTTTGTCTTGTTTAAATTCTTTTTTATCTGCTCTGTTACATGATTTAGTTTCTTAAAACAACCAAGTCCGAATTACACATTAGGTGCTGCATGGAGACAAGCCTTTCTGAACTGCCAGAAAACTCAGAGCTACTCGCTAGCAGGAGGCTTTCTGCTAAAGAACAGAGGCATACATTGTCCCACCTTTCAAAGTTCATTCAAATGGGCCTGCCAATCTCTTCAACAGGAAACATTCTTATGGACAGCTATTATGTTCTGGAGACTTTGAGAACTACTTCTACATGTAGGTCAGCACAATAGTCTCTCTGCCCATTGTCTACTCTCAAATCTCAATAATATCTCCTCCACAATGGTCCCTTCAACCATTGCACTCTCTCTCTCTCTCTCTCTCTCTCTCTCTCTCTCTCTCTCTCACACACACACACACACACACACACACACACCCTTGAGAGAGCCTCATTGCCGGAAGCAAAGACCTGTATTTTGAGATCTGCATTTTGTTTACAGCCATCTTAAGTTCACAAGTGAAGAAAAATATTTACCTCTATCCCCTCTGCAGGGTCTAGCAAATGAACCCGCGTCTTATCTCCTAGCAGAGACCAGCAGGCACCAAGAGACCAGCAGGCACCAGGCTCGGAAATCAGTTAGCATTTTCCTTTGTTAGTCAACAATCACAGACCCACAGTATTTACTTATCAGATAGAGATGTCTCCGGACCTGAATTCCAGCAGGCCTGCGTTTCCTGACACCCTTCCCTTCCCCGCTTTGCCCGTTTGCTATATAACAGCTTCTGAGGAAAATAATAAACAAGACGGCTTGATCAGAAGTCATTTCTCCTGTCTCTTGCCCCTCCATTTCTCTCCTCTAGGTTTTTCAGGGATCCCCGTTCGCATCCCGCTGACCAGGATACCTCATCCTATTCTGTAATAAATTCTGTGTGTCTTGACATTATGGTCCGCAGGCCTCATTTGAAACAGATGGAAGACCAAGGAGCCAAGGGAGACCAGACAAGATCCTAGGAGCACACGCTCCACAGTAAGCAGGGCAAGAGCACAGAAGAGAAGGAAGGAAACTGAATGTCCTCCTTGACTACCTCAAGAAGACAACGAGATCAGACAGGAGGTTTGACTCAAAGACAAAAGAACGGGTGTTCCTCTCCAGAAGAATGGGGGACTTCTTCCAGGAGAGGCTATTGCTAAGCCCACAAATGAAGGACCAATTAAATGACGAACATCAAACAAATGTTCTTCTCAGGCCATCATGGAACAAAGTCAGAAAAAAACATCAA